AATGAGGTGATGACTCAGTGGGGTCCACAAGCCTGGGGTATGCTAGGGACCGTTCTTTATCCTGAGAGCCACAGGGAGCTGTGGGAGGGTTTGATCAGGACACTGGGGTAAAATAGGAGATGCTCAAATCTGCATTGTGAGAAGATCGTTTTTCATGGCTCAACTCTCCCGTCTGTAAAATGGGTTAGTAATGATGTCTTCTGCAGAGGGTGAGGACTAAATGAGCCCACGTGAGTTCGGAGCTTACCTGTCTTCTGCCCAGGCATTTCTGCCATTGTGGGCCCTTCCCCCATAAAACAACTAAAGTTAGATTTTATTACGTTGTTGGCATAAAGACAAATACATTAACATTATATATTAAAATGTTTTCTTCAACTTTAAAGTTCATTTTTTTCTTCTGATTTTAAAAGAAATTACAACATTTTTGTGGGTCCTTAAAAGTATTATGGGCCCAAGGCACATGCCTGGGCCCTCAGAGTGGGTGCTCTTACTCCCATGAGCGCTTTCGTCAGGGCCAGGGGGCACGGGGTGGGCAGCCAGAAGAAGAGGTGTCTGTGTGCCCCAGGGCCTCCCTCTGCCTCCTCCTCATCCCGGTTATTACAGCCCCTTTGGTCCTCCCTCCAGCTGTGGAGAATCAGGCCCAGCCGACCTTGACCTTGACCTTGTCCTTGTCCTTCCCCAACCTACACACACTGTGGCGTCATCCTGTCCAGGGAAATGCTCTGACCCGTTAGGCCCTTGCCCTTGGCCTTGCCCATGCTGGGCCACTCCCCAGATGCCTTTCTGTTTTATCTCTGAAGGTGCACAGCCTCAAACCTCAGCTCACAGGCCACCTCCTCTGTGAAGCCTGACCAATCTCCAGGCGGCACCAGCTCTTGTACCTTCCTCCCCGTGGTGTTTACATGCTTCCTCCCTCCTCCTCCTCCCAGGGACAGTATCTGGTTCATCTCTGCATGCTTGGTGGCACCTGGCACATGGTTGGCACCCAATTAAAATGTTTTGTGTAGAGCGAAGAAGGGGCCGCCCGGGTCCACCTTTGCCCTGGGGCCTCCTCTGACCTATAGTGACAATGGCAGTGGCCACATGCCAGCCCCTGAACCAGGTCGGGAGCTGGGGCACAGACTCGGGGAGTAATTCCACCCTGCCCACGGGGACAGCAAGTGCCGAGGGTGGGGGAGGGGCTGGGTTTCCTCAGAGGAGGTGCGCCAGGCCTGAGACAGTGTGGAGTGGACAGAGGGCAAGATGGGGGCTCGGGGGTGCGCTGCATGAGCAGTAGGGTCGGGGCAAGGAAGGGCTGGCAGAATGGTTGGGAGATGGGGAGTGAGTTCCCCAGGGCCCCCAGGCCCTGGCCCCACGGACCACCATCAGGGGACAGAGGATTTGGCAGTGATTGGCAAAGAGGGGTGCAAACCTCATTTCCACCCCAAGGTCACAGGCCCAGCACTGAGGCTCGGAGCCAGTTAATCAAGTCTAGTGGAGCATAGCGTAGGCATGTCCTCTGGCGGGGGCTGCGGCTGGGCTGGACCACCTCACACTGTGGTGGGGACCAGCAAGTGGACTCCGATGACAGTTTTCAGACCAGGCACCCCCAGCCCCCAACGTACTCCCTCTGTCCCAGGAACCTACACCCTCGAAACTCCAGTAAGCCTTTTGTCCATACCCGGGCCCCCAGGGCGAGGCCTGGGCCTAGCTCACCCAGCCCCTCAAAAGCTCAAAGACCCCTGCTGTTTGCTGGGGCAGGTTTGGGTCCCTTGGGTGGGGCTGGGTCAGGAGCCCTGGCTTGGACTGGAAGCCCAGTGCTTGTCCCCACATCAAGCCATGCGGCTGCTCAGCCATCACCATGTCTCAGCAAGAAGGTGTCAGGAACCCTTTCAGACCCAGGGAGAGAACCGGGGTAAAGAAAATGCGTGCTGGCAACCAACTGTCTTTCCCCACTCCCCAGCCACTCTGTGAGCCTCAGTTTCCTCATCTGAGAAATGGGCTAATGACCAGTTGTGATTTAAAGCCTCAAGCCAAACTAAGGGGAGCATGAGGGAGTGGACAGCAGAAGGGGCAGGAGCTGGATACTCAAGGCCAGCATTAGGGGTAGGTGAGGTGGGACGAGTCAGCCCCGGCCTGGGTGGGGAGCAGGAAGGCCTGGGACCACCCTGCTTAGGGCGAGGCTGGGGGACTCACCCAAAGGATGGCCTATTGGTGTCTTTGGCACGGCCCCCCTTTTATAGTGTCCTCCCCAAGCCTCCAGGCCATTCACCCGGGCAGCCTGGCCCAGCTGTGAGAGCCTTGGGCAGCCTTATGGGGGCAGCACGTGGCCAGGCATCCGGGCCCCTGGGGAGAAGGCCAGACAGGGGCCCAGGGAAAAGAGCTGGAGAGGAACCGGGTCCAAACCACTGGGCCGCTGCCCTTCCCCCGAGCCCCCACCCGTGGGACTGCCAGGTGTGGTGGGCTAGGGGCAGGGGACACTGCAGACTGACCTCCTAGGATACCCGCTGAGCTGGGGACAGGGCCATATCCAAGTCCTCTGTGCAGCCCAAGTCTGAGCCCTAGTGCCAGCCTGCCTGCCCTTTCCCACCTGTGGCAGGTAAAGCCACCTGGCCACCTGGCCAGCACTTCCTCCAGCTCAACCTGGTGAAATCCTTCCTCTGCCCCAGGCCTACCTCCTTGGCCCCTGGATATTCCTGGCCTGGTGGACATGGGACAGTACACCTTAGCCCCCTCATCTGGGCAGGGCCACACACGGTGGGGTTTAGGGGGTGCTGGGCAGGTAGGGGGTTGGCATCTCCTTCCAACAGGGGCCTGCAGAGCAGCAGGTCAGCGCCCCCTCCCCTCCTGCCCCTTCAAGGCTAGCTGCCAATCCATTTGGCACTAAGCCCTCTGAGCAGGAGCCAGCTCGTTTGCCGCGGGTGTTAATTAAGAGAGAGAGAGGTGATGGGGGAGGTGGGAAAGGGCCGCAGAAGGCGACTTCCAACAGCTTCCAGGACTACCCCAAGGACCAAGGGAGCCGGGAGCTGGACCCTGGTGACCTGAGATGCCCGACCTCCCCGACTGGCTCCGGGGCAGGGCTGTCCCGATGCCCAGCCCCTCAGCTCTGCAGCTAGACCTACTGGGGTGGGGGTGAGACCTACTGTGTGCTCTGCAGGGAGTGTGGAGGAGGCAGGCCCCAGCCCTGGCCAGGAGGAGAGCCTCCCTGTGACAGTCCCTCTGGCAATCTGCCTTGAGGTCGGCCTACTTTTCGGCTTGGCTTTGGAGTCAGACAGACCCAGTTCTGATCCTGCTACTGCCATGTACAACTCAACCGCTGAGCCTCGGTTTTCCTATCTATAAAATGGGAGCTATAGCCCCTTCTTTGTGGCTTTGTTATGACAGTGAACAGGATCATCTGTGTGAAGCAATCGGCGTGTGCCTGGCAAATAGCCCTCACTCTGTCATTGAAGTGTATGCTCCTGGGGCCACAGCCAGGCCTTCTGCGGGCCCAGCTTCTCAGCGGCCTGCGTGTCTGCCTGGGGGTCCTGTTGTGGTCCTTTTCCTGGTCTTGCTTGGATCTGGCTTCGGCTGCCTCGCCCACCTCCCCCGGGATCCCTGTAGACCCCCAGCCCTGCTCCGGGAGTGCCCAGCTGCTCCCTGCCTCTCCATCTTAATTAGCTGCTTGTATTAATCTCGCAAGTAACGTGGCAACTTACAGCCTTGGGTTTTTGGGCTGTGGAATTAATTATTCCCCAAGCGAAGAGCTGTCAGCTCTGGGAGACCAGCCACTCAGAGCCGCCGATACCGCTTAGCAGCGTCCGGAGCTTCCGCACGGCACCCCGGGGCCTGCAGCCTGGCTGGCCGGAAACGGCCCCCACTCCTGGCCCCGGCTCTGCTGTGTGTTCCCCACATATCATCGAGGGGCTGTAACACGACCTGGGGAGGTACGGTGGGTGCCAGAGTGGTGAGGAGCTGAAGGCCCTGCCTGGAAGCCAGGGCTCCTGGGCAGAGGGGTTGCGGCCCAGCTGGTCTCCCCACCTGGGCAGCACCTGGGCCTGGGGATGACCTGTCCTGTCTCGCCATCACCTGTGTTGATCAGCATGAGCAGTTAGCACAGAAGCAGCTGTGTGGCCAGAAGCTGGAGCCCCACCTGGGGAGGGGACATTGACCTGCGCAGCCCTGACACTCTGGTGGAGAGACTGCCAGCTTCACTTTGTCCCCACGTCAGCCCCGTGGAAAGGCAGGAGGGTGCAGCCGGCCAGGCAGAGCGAGAGGGACAGGACAGCCACAGGGACGGGATCTGAGGGTCCCAATCTCTCCCTTGACCTTCACACCAATCCTGTAAGGTGGTCTGTTCTTCCTGGAGGAAACTGAGGCACAGAGCAAAGTGGCTGAAGTCAACCATCTGTCGAACCCAGCTTTGGGTCCAGGCCCAGTGTTCTGGACCCCCACTGTGCTGCCCCGGGTCAGGGTCCTTACATCACACTTGGTCATCTGTTAGGCGCCCCAGCCTGGGTTCACAGTCTCATGTTCTCACCCCCTACACACTCATTCCCTGGGCAACACTTACCACAGCTATTGGTTTCCTAGTGGCTTCAAGTCTGTGTCCCTCTGCAGCCTGTGAGCCCCCAGGGCAGGGACCAGGGCTGCCCTGTGCACCCCATATCTCTGCACCAGACCTAGCATAGATGGGCCTCAGGAGACACTGTGGGGTGAAAGAATGATTGAATAAAAGGACTAGTGTGGCTGCGGGTCATCTGCCACTGGAGACCCCATACGCAGCTGCTTCCGGGGTGAGCGGGCAGGACTCTGGTGGCTCATTGGCCCTCACTCACCACCATACAAACCCCAGGCCCATTAGACCTCCGCGGGAGAGGAAGTCCGAGGCCCTTCCACCTCCCCCTTATCTGCTCGTGTCTCAGAGAGGACCCTGTACCCAGAGCCTGGAGGTCCAGCAGGCAGCCCCCCATCTCCCCCCTCCACACAGCCGCCTGTCCTACCAGCCGCTCTGACTGACTGGCCTTTTCTCTCTCTTGCAGCCAACAGCTCCCTGCTCGGAGGCGGAGGCGGTGAGTGGACCCTCCCTGTGGTTTGGGGGTATGAGGGGGGTGCGGGGGGGGGTTGGCAATGCTCCTTCCAGGGCCGCTTGTCACCTGCTGACCCAGCACACTGCCGTCCTTCACGGCCACAGCCCTCCCCCTCAACCCCACAGTGCCCCCCCCCCGCCAATTTCTCCATCTCTGTCCTTCTCTCTCTCTCACCCTCTTGGCCTTGCCTGGTCTGCCATCAGTGTAGACACAGCAGGACCTCACCACTGGGTGACCCAGGCAGGTCCCCATCCTCTGAACAGAGGCCTCCTGGCCTATCACTGGGGGCTGGGGGGAACATGTGAGGTTTAAAAGGGCCTGGGCTGGGGACTAGGAAGTCACAGGTGTGGTGGGAAAAGCCCAGCCCTGCCTCTGCCCCCCACGTGCCCTCGGCATGCTCTGTGCCCCTTTGGCCTGTTTCCCCACCTGTGAGGACAAAATTGTCATCTCTGCTCTGCCCCAAAACTGCGCAGGATGGCCCCACTGCCAGGCCAAGGTCTTGTGACATCAGGGAGAGCTCTGCCAGCTGCTAAGCCCTCGAGAACATTTGTGTGTTCACAATTGTCAATGACCACCATGAGGCAGGGGTTTCAGCTGGGCCAGGTGGGCTGGAGGTCGGAGGTCAGGGTGGGCTGTGCGGCCAGGCCAAGGTCAGCAGGTGCCATGGGGTGGGGGACAGTGACTTTGCCCCCAGGGCCTGCTTTCCCTGGCCAGCCCTGCCCAGGCCGCCCCAGCCCCTGGGCTGCGCACGCTGGCTGGGCTGCCGGCTGTCTGCACAGGCAGCAGGATGATTGGTGAGGCAGGGGGCAGGGGTTAATGTGCCGTCGGATAAATCCCGGGGACCATGTTTACTGCAGCGGTGGCGGGGCCCAGGCCAGGTTTTAAAAGGGGGAAAAATAAAAGGGGCAGTGAAGGTCGGGAATAAATATGAGCAACACTAGGAGCTGTCAGTGGCCGGCCAGGATGCGGGGGTGGGGGCGTCTGTTTGTGGCTGGAGATGTTTTCCCTCCCTCCTTCCCCACTTCTCCTCCAGCTGCCCCTGTGGAGGTCACAGCTATCCTGGAGGCCTCCCAGAGTGAGGGGCTTCACTAGAGGCCAGGGGCCCATAGAAAGGCATTTAGGACCCTCTTCTGAAGCCTGTCCTTATGGAGGACTTAGCCGCCCTATTGATTTGACGACACCTGCCACGTGCTGCCCACAGCTACCCCTCTCCTTTGTCCATTCATCACCCAGTGATTGCATGCCTACTGGGCGCCGGGCTCTGAGCTGGGTATGAGGACAGATCCTCCGGGCACCAGAGGGGCCTGGTCTCTGCCCTCCCAGAGCTCACAGTCCGGATGAGAGCACCCACCATTACACAGGGTGATCTGTGCGTGTGTGAGTTGTGGCGGCGGGCGGAGGGAGGCTCACAGGCATGATGGGGGCTCAGCGAGATGCACCTAACCGGGCTTGGGCATCAGGAAGGCTTCTGGGAGGAGGCAGTGCCTCCACTGGGACCTGAGGGCTAGATAGGAGAGAGCCAGTGAAGAGCAGTGGGAAGAGTGTCCTGGGCAGAGAGAACAGTGCAGGTGAAGCCTGAAGTCAGGGAGAGCGTGGGGGGCTCGGGGAGACTCAGGTCAGAGAGGTGAGAGCCCAGCCAGGAGGAAGGGAGGCAGGAGATGATGCAGGAGCCTGAGACCATATGAGGAGCTGGATTTTTAGCCATTCAGACCCCAGAGACAAAAGACCACAAAAAGGTGTGGGCCTTCTAAATCCTAAGTCAGGTCATACCCCTGTCTTGCTCAAAACTCTGCCAGGACTCTCACCTCACTCAGAGCCAAGGCCAAGGTCGACAAAGACTCTCAGACTCCCCACCACACTGCTTGCCCTTTCCTCTGTGCCAGCCACACTGGCCTTCCTTGCTGGAACAGGCCTGGCCTGCTCCTGCCTCAGGGCCTTTGCACTGGCTGTTCCCTCTTCCTCAGATAGCCATGTGGTTGCCCCCTTCACCTCATACAAGTCTTGATTTGTATGCCACCTTCTCCCGGAGGCCCACCCATCCTGCCCTGCCCCATCCTGCCTTTCCTGGCCCCTCACGCTGCTCTAGTTTTTCTTTTTCTTAGAGCACTTCTCTCCTGACCTGCCATATAATTTACCTGTTTACTATGTTCATTGTTTATTGTCTGTCTCCCCACTGAGAACAAAAGCTCTGAGGGCACAACAGTATCTCCAGCACCTGAAACTGGGTCTGGCCGATAGAGCAGGTGCTCAATAAATGGTTGTTGAATGAAGGAAGGAAGGAAGGAAGGAAGGAACTACAGGTGACGGCAGGGATGGCCTTACATGTTAAGAGAAGGACTTGCTGATGAGGGCAGTGGGGGCCACGGAGGTTTTAGGCAGGGCAGGGAGTGGCTCACAGATGGCCTGGTGACCTCATTCTGGGAAGTCAAGGGTGCTTGCTCTAGCCAGATTGAGGGGGAGGCACCTTGAGGGTCCCTCTAGCTCCCCTTCTTTTGTCATTGAGGATGAGAAGATGCTAGAACAGGCCCCAAGTGCGGCCTGACTGACGCAGAGATGGATGGGGTGAGCCAGGACTTGGGAGGAAGTGGGCCCGGAGTCTAGCCTTTTAACGCTGGCTGAGATTTATGGAGTCGCCGCAAGTACTCGCTGAGGCTGTCACTCCACTAATGTGATTGGAGCAAGGTGGAGGTGTTAGGGAGGGGTTGGGGTAGGGGTGAGGCTGGGGCTGGTAGGGGCCTGAAACCTGCGTGGGGCTGGAAGGGAGAGGGCCCCAGACCTACGGGACATCTCTGCCCTCAAGTCTGCCACCTGTGCCCTCCACTGCCCCCAGTCGTCGAGTCCATCTAGCCTTAACCCTGTGGGAGACACAGGCAGAAGTAGCCTGGGACTAGGTTCCCTGGTCTCCACCTGACTGCCCAGACGGACCCCCATCTTCCCATGGGGTCTCCTAAGATTCTGCCCTCTTCTCCCGAGTCTACCCTGAGGGGTTCAGGCCTCTACCCACCACCCAACCACCCCTGTCACCACCCATTCACCTACCCACCCTCCACCCACCCATCCATCCATCTACCCACCCTCGTCCCATCATGACCCACCCATCGCGGCATTTACAAGACCGGTGCTCTAACCCCTGAGCTATAGGACCCCATCGAGGCATTTAATGAGCACCAGTCCCATTCAGCCTGCCCTGGCCACTCTGTTTAAAATTGCACAGCCAGCCCGGCCCACCACGCTGCTCCCCTCACCTGCTCTGCGCCTTTTTCCACATCATGATCCCCTTTAAGGGACTTGCCTTATGTTTGTTCTCATTGCCTGTCTCCCCACCAGAATGTACTCTCCCCAGGAGCAGGGCTCTAGGGGATTTTGTGGGGCAGTTAGTTGCATGTTCTGTGCGCTGGGCCCTGCCCTAGGAGCTGGGACACAGGTCTAACTGCCCCGGGGTGGCCCTCCAGTCCCTGGGGCAAAGGGACAGCAGGCAATAAACCAGCGGGGCCCAGGGCAGCTATCAGCTCAGAAAGGGGCTCTCAAAAGGGGGTCTAGGGCCTGGGCTATAGTGAGCCCTTTTGTGCAGTGAGCCCACAATTTTTACTGTGAGTATGTGCTGGTTCAGGGCCAGGGAGGACTGTGGCCTCTGGGGAGCAGGGAGGGGAGTCTGCTGGACACCCCTAACCTCAGAGAAAGCCCCCCAGAGGCTGATAGGCCTAGAAGGACTTAATCCATAGAGTCCAGGGCTCCTAGGCCCGCCTCACTCTGGGCCTGAGCCCCCACCAGCTCCTGGGACCAAGCTAGGAAGCTAGGTTCTGGAAACAGTGAATCTTGGGGAAGCCCCCTACTCCTCATTCTTTCCCAGGGCTCTTTCTGAGCGTGTGTGTATGGTGGGGGTATACCTATGTCAAATACTGATACTCGGGACTTGGCTCTGCCCTCAAAGAGACCCATTGTGGTGGAAGGCTTCCCAGCAGAGGGGGCATTTAACTTGGGCCCTGAAGGCTGAATAGGAGCTCCACAAGTACAGCGGAGTTAGAGACCCATGCAGTAGGCAGACTTGATGGGGCTAGGGCAGCCACCTAGCTTCTGGCCAAGCCCTTATTAGGCCTGAGACTGCCAGGCCCGCTCCTGCTCTCCCACCTCCCTTCTGGAGAGCCTTTTACTGGCTCGATAAAAAAAAATTTTTTTAAACATTCCCCTATTGTATGGTAAGAAGGGAGGCGGGCCCTAAATCAGCATGGGAATCGACAGGGCCCTGACGCGTGTCTCTCCTGTTTATTAGGACTGAAATGTTTACTCGGCGATAAGGAGCCGGCTTTCTCGTGGAGATTTGTGCGCTCTTTTTCAATTACCCCTCGTCTTTCTCTGCCACTTTTGCACTAAAGGGATAATAAATGTATCAGAGCGTTTCAATTATTCATCTAAATCATGACTGCGCCTGCCATGGCCAAGCTTTAGTGACAGATTAATTCAGGGCCGCCTTCCTCTGCTTCCGTGGCCGCCATCTCTGCTCCTGCCTGGCCAGTGCCCTGAAGGGCCAGCATGAGGGGCAGCTGGGCTGGGGTGAGGCAGGTTCCTGGCAGGCGCAGGTGGGCAAGGCAGAATGGAGTCCCAACCCACCCACGCACACTCACTGCCAGCAACACCCCTTCATTCCAGAGGTCAGCAGCCCCACCCCAACCTGCAGGAGCCCGCACATGACCATGAGGGCGCGGCTACCCTACCCTCCAGCCCACTCTGCTCTGTATAGCCCCTGCTCCCCATGCCCCCATGGCAAATCCCTGTGTGTGTCCCATCGCCCCTGTGTTGCAGGCATCTCAGCTTCCATTACAGCTCTCTCCTGGCCCAGGGCCTTTGCACACGCTGCTGCTGTGCCTGCCGGCTCCTCTGCCTTCACACCACAATCTTCCTTCCTAAGTTATCTCCATGTCAGGCCTGCCTCTCAGGCTACCCCTCACTCCTGCTCTATTTACTGAGGGCCTGACACTGTCCGT